TGGTTTCTAAAGCCAGCTGTTTTTTGCTCACCTAGTAGAAGAGCTAGGCACATGAGCATCTTTTCCTCTGGATAAATCTCTGGGAGTGTTTTGGTCTTCTGACAAAGGCAAGGAGTATCGGCTAATGCCTGTCTCCGCCTGATCCATCCCTTGACCTGATGAGGGCTCCCCCAGTGAAATTTGGCCTCCCTATAAAAACATGTCTATTCCTCCCTTCTTCTGCCAATAGCTATTTATGTAGGTCTTTGCATCTTCTTAAAAGACAAGCTTTCTTATTTTTGTTCTAAGGTATTTTTTTACTTGCCATTTGCTGAGTCCCCTGCAACAGAGTATGTACTTTAAATTGTGTTGTTGTTAGCATTGTCCCAAAGAGCTTTATCTGAATCTGTGGCAACAAGTATTAACCTTGCTTTGCAGCCCTGTGATATAGGCCTGAAAGCATCATCTAAGCTGAGGTACTTGATGAAACAGCAATTTCAAAATATAAAGCACAATTTAGATGTTGTATGACAGGCAGACTCCACTGTCACCCGTCCATTGTATGTATGCGAAGGTGTACCTTTTTATGGCGGTAGTTATGGCTCCTTATTGGGTTTGGTATTGATGCTTGGGGGTTATTCAGAATGTATGAAATGGTATTTTCTGTCTGGTTCTGTATATTTCATCTGTAACGATCAGCTATTAAAGTTTTTAAATAGGGCACTTTTATGGTGTTTTCTATTTCTGATGAATTATCTTGAACTTATTTATGCAAAGGCTCCTTTGGACTGCAAAAATCTCTCAGGCTGAAGGCATCTGAGGAAGAACACAAATAGGACTTGTACGATGCAAAGAAGTTTGCAAGTAAATGAAAATTAGATTCAGTAGCTACAAGGTCTTTGTGTTTATCTAGCAACGTAAAAAAATTGAGTGGTTTAAAAAGAATGAATAGACTTTCCCTGGGGGAGATGTCAGCAGAAAAGTGCAAGCAACACTACAGCTCACTCCATGAACTTTACTCCTTCATAATTCTCTTTTGGTTTTTTTTGTTTGTTTGTTTGCTTGCTTGCTTTCCCCCAAGTGTACTTGGAAAGGCTGGGACTCAGAAACCTGAAGTTTACTGCAAACACACACAGAGTGCTTTTAAGGATGATGTTCTGCTTTCTCTCTCCTGTTTTCCTGACCACCCTTCTGTTGGCTGATTTGCAGTTTCAAAATTTGAGAATTTTCTCCTTACATGCCGTTCCTCCTTTTTTCATAGCTCAGTGCGAGGCGGCTTAGCATTGCCTCTACTTTAAGTATCTTTGTTAGCTTTATTTGACATTGTAGCAAGAAAAGCACTTTTGCTATAGTATCTGAGTATCTTGCCAGATGGCAACAAGGGAATTCTTCAGTACTTGTGAATTAGTTTGATATCACCTGACAGTGAGAGCTTACTTATGGTGTAAGGTAAAGGTTCATGACCATGGCACCAGCACAGTGATTTCTGCTGTGTATTCCATGTAATCACCATATGCAGTAGATATTTATCTGGTTGTGTTTGTATCTTAGCATGAAATTAAAAAAAAATCCTCAAGAAAAAGCTGAACACCTCTTCCAGATGGCAATTAAAACTTTCTCTGGCTGCCAGATTATTGTAAAAGAGGATAGTCTTGCAAGAGTAAAGCACCCCACTGTGGCAATGCTTTAAGCCATTGCTGGTTCAAGGCAAGAGATGACAACATTTCTCAACTTGCTTAGATTTCAGAAATACAGTCTTTGTGACAGTTGGCTTCCTACTTGTGTACCTCTGAAATTGCCTTAGATTAACATAAATGTTATTTAGATGTCTGAAAAAGGTTTGGAAAGACTGAAAGAATATCAAATAGCAGAACTCTGCTGAGTACTAAATCTACTCATTTTGTGGTGAAAATGACTACCAAGAAAGGGCTTACACAAATGCTGGAAGAACAGCAGTGCGTTGCCATGTGGTCAGTGTGACCTCTCTTCATTATAGCCAGAACACTGCTGAAAAGGAGTGAAAAAAGGCGTCCCTGAACTGGACACAGGTAGGTAACGCTGCAGCAGCTCTCATAATATATATCATGAACACACAATTTAGTGGGAAGTAATAGAGTCATAAGCCAGCAGAAAGGTGTAAGTCAGAAGCAAAAAAAGATGTTAGGGTTTGGAATCCATCTCCTGCTAGTAGAGGACTGCTCCCTGCAGTACCTTTTCTCATACTTTGCCTAGTCTGCTTTTAAATGCCCTGTGTAATAGTAGTTTCCACAATTTCCCTTGGGAGGAAGAGATGATGTTTATACCTCTCTTTGTCAGGAAGCTGCCATTGGTAACCTGCCTGCTTCCCTTTTCCTAACTCCATCTCATTACTCTGAATGATTCCCTGCACAGCACTCTGAATAACGCTGCTCTTCCTTTCTGTCCTGAGCCTGCAAAGGGATGGTGGCTGGTGGGGCCTTTATGGCTCCTGCACGGCTCAGAGGGGACACACACAGTCCCAGAGGCTAGTCGGGGGAGCAGCCCAAAGTCGAGGGGGGTCCTATACCCATAGCGTCCTAGGGGCAGCCCCAGCAGAGTCTCCCTCTTTGGGCAGCTTTAGTGTAAACATGCAACAGAACTTCCATGACAGAACCTGGCATCTCTTTTTTGGCCGCCTGTAGCCCCTGTGGCATGGCTGTAAAGGAGATGGGATACCTGTAGGCAGGAGCTGCTGTCTCTCTTCACCAGAGATTGTCCACGCAGTAGGAAACAGCAGCTTTGGGGGTTCCCTAATTCTCAAACTTTTTTGATAGGGCTACTTGCCTTCAGTAAACAGGCATGTACCACAGCACAGCTGCCTCTCTATCCTACTTGTTCATATATACTTATATACTCACAGCAGGTAGTCACAAAATTATCTTAAATTTTGTCTCTGAGACATACTGCACAGTCCCAGATGGGTTGTGTCCCTCCTCCCTCCCTCCATTTTGGGAATCTTTGCTCTATAGCATAGGGCATACTCAAGGTTTTCCAACGTACCAGTTAGTTTTCCCAAGTCCTGGCCCTGGGTTTGCTCCTGACAGTAAATACTGTCGATGTTCAGTAAATCTGGCCTTGAAAGTACCTTAAGCGATAGTGGAAATACAGCCAGAGAGTCTATTCTATGCAAACTCAGGTCCATGTGCAAACTCAGTGTTTTATTTTTCACATCTTTCACATATTTGTTGAATGAGAGCCTCTTCTTAGCCATCTGCCGGCCAGAATATGTGGGCCATATGCACAACTTGTTTTTCTACCTAAAAACACAGCTGACAATCTGACCCATACATTTTACATTGTTTCTTCCAAGTTGGTTTCCACAACCTCCTGATAGGGTTGTTTTGGGGTTTGTTTCTTTTTTAGTGTTTGAATAAACTCCAGTTTGCCAACAACTTTCTGCTACTGTGATGCCTTTGGGAGAATAGAAATGTCATGATGGCTCTAGTTCAACACTGCTATTGGGTTTTGCACTCATAAACATGGGTGGGCAGAAGCAGCGAGAGCAGTAAGAACTTGATAAGAACTGGGCACATACTAAAAAAAGCATAGGAAATGTATTTTTCCTTGCTCCACATTAACCATTTACTCACTTGAATGAGACTTCTATAAAAATGGCTTTGTCCTGTGCAAAGAAGAGTTTAATAGATCTCTTTATCAAGTCACTGTCAACATCTTAATATGGCTGACTTGGTAATTCTTCTTGCACGCGTACTTAGCAGTTCTTGATGCAAACTCAGAATGGCATCACTCCAGATATAAGCAAAGCAGAAAGAGCAGGGCTTTCTCTCCTATTCATACCATCCCTTCCAATGAGCTCCATGCCTGCATACACAGATACTTCAATGATTTGCTGTTTGGTACTTGACGGTTATCTACCAACTCCTGGTTCAACTTATGGCTGACTCATATGAGGAATTTGCATTCCTGAGAAACTTACAGACTACAAGGATTGTATCCATAACAGAAGAGAACTTTTACATGTGTGCTGTTTGCAACATTTTGCTGTGCTAAACTACCAGCCCAAAATATTCACTAAAGCTTTAGTGACTCTTCATTACAAAAATTGCTATCCAGTCCTGAGAATACATTACTGATGTTAGTCCTGAGAATACATTACTGATGTTACTGATGTTAGTTACAACAGCAGTAGTTTCACAGATTAATAATTTTTATTATTTCTATTATTCACAGTGTTTCCAAAAGAATAACGTAGTTCTGCTTACATTTTGAAAAAAATAAATTAGATTTTTCAAAAATTCACCACCAGTTAAGCAGGAAGTTGTTTCTAGCAGGTTCCTTCTGCAGCTGGGAGAAGACTTACCAAATGGTAATCACAGAGCTTACTGCAGAGTCATGTATAAAGTTCAGATATTGTTTGAATTTTATGAGAATTTATCCAGTTCAAATAATGTATTCTATTTAGACATCTTTTTTCCCTATGTTGCTGTTATTATAACAAACAGCAAGATTTCTGAAGAACTAAAATAGGCATCATTAGATTTTAATTACAATCAATTGGTAAGGTCACTAGCAAAGGCCTTTATCAGCTGAGAAATAAAGAGTGCCTTTGAAATATTATGAAAAATACTAAACCTGTGGCTGAATGAATTATTGAAAGTGTCTAATTTCACTAACTCTACCATTGTGCTCAAAATCTTTCTCTTTAATTTATGGTGAAAATATATGTCTCAATGCAGAAATGGCTTAATAAACTTAGCTGAGAATCATATAGTAACTGCAAGTATATAACAAACAGTCATGTCAAGTTAGCATTTATTCCTCGATATGTGAAATTACAAAAAGAGTAGAGAAGAAGTTATCAAAAATCTAGAAAAAGTCAATAGTTTTGAAGTCTGCACTTTAGAGGTTTTAATATAAACATTGGTTCATATTAAACATTGAACATTGAAATCAAATTGCAGTCAAATGAAAGCAAACTTGGAACAAATATTTTGAGATAATTTGTTTTCCAAAACAAGCACTACCATTTGTATCATTCTTACCTGCAGAGGTTTTCACAATTTCTGAAGTATTTCTGAGACCCATAAAGTCAAACTGATAGAGTCTCCAAGACTTCTGGTCAGCAGCCTCCACTGAGTTTTTCCTCCATCTGTAAATCATTTCCTCTTTAGGGTAGCCATCTAGAAATTAAAAAAATATATATGTATAAAAATATATTGCATTTCATAAAACAGGTACTGCAAACAGTATCTGTTCACTGATTTAGAGGTATTTGGGAATACCTAAATTTCTGAGCTGATGCTTTCTCAGTGAGTTTGGTGGTATAATTCAGCTAAAGAGTTGTATGGCACATAAAATAGAATCATAATACTGGCAAAACTATGATTTTTCACAATCGTCGTTTTTTTCTGATGGAGAAAAATTCTGATTGGTTCTATCAGAATTAGATCTTTTCATAGATGCAGTTGATTGTACTAATTTGAGGTCCATACACAGAAGTATACTGCTTTACATATGCTCTGAAGAAGCTGTGCAAACCGATAGAATGTAAAAAAAAGTGGGGAGTGTCAGCGTAGGATGTAAACAATTTAAAAAAACATAATGTTTTAAAAGTGACAATAGTCCTAATGTAGTGTGTGCTACTGTACTTCTGAAATGAGCTCAATACAGTGCAAAAAAAGCAAATTTTAAATTAGTATGGGATTTTAAAAGTGATTATGCCATCATATTACTTCTAAAGGTTGTGGTATTTAATGAGACATCACCTGGTCTCTACAGCTGAAATAGCTTCTGAAAGTCTTCCTTTATCAATTTAGCACTTAGTAGTCATAATTAATCCTCACGCCAATACTTAATTTCCCTTTTGTTAGAGAATGGCGTTTTCCAATAGAAGTTGAACAACAAATCTTCAACCAGCCCAAACCATAATAATAGACCATCTAGAACACAACAGCACGCCCATGCTAGTTAAAACTAGATTGTTCTCTAATGCATAATACAATAAATGCCTATTCATCTAATAACTAATATAGTAGATGTAGATTACAAGGCAAATTAAAAGCCTAACAACAACAATAGCCAGTTAATATAACTGTCTCAGCTGTAATCGGATACAGATAAATATTGATATTTGCATTACAAAATAACTTCTCTGGTCATGGTGCTATTTTCTCGATGTTTTCCTCCTATAAGTGTCGTCTTCATCTTGTTTAAGGTTCCACCCTGCTGGGGCACTGCTATAAGGTGTGCATGGTCTCATTTATCCCTCTCACTAACACAGCATGAAAAGTACCCACAGTCCCTCAGTTCTAATCTGTAGAAAATGACTATGTGTTAATTCAAAATGCCATGTTCGTATATTTCCCATCAACGTAAATAAAGAAATAACCCATGAAGGACACATCTGAGTAACAAACACAAACCCTGCTGTTCTCTACGAGAACTCTTGCTGCCGAGCAGATTTCACTGCCAATTCTGCTGTGGCAGTCTTTGATCTAAAGGTTAAATTTTTTTGGCTGGCAGATTATGTCAGAGGATGCAGAGGTACAGTGAAAGAAGTCAAGCTTTGCAGGGCCTCCGAGTCTTAGCCCTGCATCTTCTGAAATCTTCTCGAGCCTTGCTCCTATTTGACTGAGCCCTCTGATCACATTTCTGACCGAATAATGTCTCCCTCTAACAGAAAGCCCTACATTTAATCATAGAATTATAGAATGATAGAATCATTAAGGTTGGAAAAGACCCTTAAGCATCAAGACCCCAACCGTTAACCTAACATTGCCAAGTCCACCACTAAACCACGTCCCTAAGTGCCACGTCTACACGTCTTTTAAATACCCCCAGGGATGGGGACTCAACTGCTTCCCTGGGCAGCCTCTTCCAATGTTTCACCACTCTTTCAGTAAAGACATTTTTCCTTACATCCAATCTAAACCTCCCCTGGTGCAACTTGAGGCCATTTCCTCTCGTCCTATTGCTAGTTACTTGGGAGAAGAGACCGACACCCACCTCGCTACAACCTCCTTTCAGGTAGTTGTAGAGAGCGATGAGGTCTCCCCTCAGCCTCCTTTTCTCCAGGCTAAACAACCCCACTTCCCT